ATGATTAACTATACAAGTATTTTCGTTTGTTGCTTCTTGTCTATTTGTCTGTATGTATGTTGGGAGCAACAGGCAACAGAAATTATTCATTATTTGTTTGAGAACTTTTCAGCACCATTCGTATCTATCTATCTATCTATCTATAACAGTTTCTTTCTTTCTTTTTTTTCTTTCTTTCTTTCTTTTTTTTCTTTCTTTCTTTCTTTCTTTATGTCTTTATCTCTCTCAATCTATCTATCTATCTATCTATCTATCTATCTATCTATCTATAACAGTTTCTTTCTTTCTTTCTTTCTTTCTTTCTTTCTTTTCTTTCTTTCTGTCTGTCTGTATCGGTCTCTTTCTTCCTGTGTATCAGTGTATTTCTTTCTTTCTTTCTTTCTAAATCTCTTTATCTCTCTCTCTCTCTCTCTCTCTCTCTCTCTCTCTATCTATCTATCTATCTACCAAAAACGACCTGTGTCGGTTTCTATCTATCCATCTATATCAATTTCTATCTATCTATCTATCTATCTATCTATCTATGTTCATATGTATTTCAGTCTGTTCATATGTATCTATCGCTCGATCTATCTGTCTAGGTTTATTCATATCTAGCACCCACTTCTTTTATATCTCGCGTCCCTACAAGACGTGGGCGATCATGGCCTTTTACCGTTTCCTGTTTTTATTACTCTAAGTAACTTGTGACTATTTACTACACCTCTTTGCCACCCATCCGCACAAGTATGTTACTCGCTGTCTCCCCGTCCTTCTGTGTTCCCATGAGTATTAAAATCTCTGCGCCCTTTTTCCTCATTATGTGTCAAGAAACTTCAAATGCCTCTTTTCTGATTGTGAGTATTAATTTCCTTGTAGTTCCTTAAAAATTCCTCATTGTCCACATGTTCTGTCCGTGTTATTCTCAGCAATCGTCAGTGGAATATTTTTGTTCCTTCAAGTCCCTTCTTTAGCTGTGAGATTGCCAAGATGTAGCGGCATAGAGCTCAGCACTTTTTTCTTCGTTTCTGGGGATATTTTCTTATCTCTTCATACTTTGCTTAGTTTCTGGAAGGCTTCTTTCGCTTTTCTAATGCCTCTCAGATTTTGTATTACGACATCACTTAGTTAAATTTCTGTAACTACTTGATTTTAACCCCACAACACACCTTAGATTGGTTTCTCGTGCTGATAACGTCTATGCTGCCACACATGGTCTAGTACTTCTGTTAGGCATTTAGACTTTCCTGATAAAATCCAAAGAAGAATCTGCATTTTTATAGGCCCTCACCTAGGATTCCAGCTTCAGTCACATTCCCATCACCATAACGTAGCTTCCCTGTGCCTTTTCTATAAATACTTTCATGTCAATTGTTCTGATGAACTTTTCTCTATGGTACCTAGACTTTATGAATTTAAGCGCAGTACTAGGTTGGCGGAAAGGTCTCATCGTTTTACAGTTGAAATGGTTAGATGTAAGCGTAAGTCCTATACTAACATTCTTCTCTCACGCTTCATCGACCGACTTTGTGCAGATACACTGGCTTATTGCGTTCCAGCCAAGTTTGATCTTCAAATCTTTAAATGCAATGTCAATCGTTATCTACTGGCTTCATGATTCCTCTTATTGTTCTCACTTAATTTTTTTTTATTCTTTCACTGTCAGTAACCTCTTGTGTCTTAGTGGCTTTATTTCTGTGCATGGTGTAAAGTGATTAAAAAAGCCCTAAAACATGCAATTTATTTTCTTATAGTTAATAGTCCTTTCTTCTATCTTTCCTTTACTACCTCAGTATCTGATCCTAACAACTGTCATTTTAGAAATGTTTAAATCTATAAGGCATGAAGTCAATCACTTTGAAAGACATGTTAGGGATTTGCTATCTGTTTCTGATGCTGGTTCTTCCTTCTGATCTTACTAACTGGGTGAAAAACAGGCTTTCACCCTTCTGCTGATCTCTATTTGTATGTTATTTCCTGTTATTTGTTTCTTTGCCTCAGTCTGCGAGCGTGTCTGTCTGGGTTATTTTTATAATCGCAAACCGTCTAGAATAACCTTGTTTAAAAGTGCATTCTAATAAAGTATCGATTACAAATTTAGCCCGCGATTTATTGATTCATAGCTGTAGTTCCACAGGGGCGCACTGGTCAATGAGAATTACTGACAAAACCTCCAAGAAGCTGATTTGTCATTTCGAGCTGTAAGAGATTCCACGATACCATTTTTTTTTTCTGCGAGAGAATGTTTATTTAGAATATTTGGATTTCAGGATTTTAAGCATGGGTTGAACTGATAACCCCTCCCTAAAACATGCAGTTTGTTTTCTTATAGTTAATAGTTAGTCCTTTCTTCTTTCTTTCCTTTACTACTTTACCTAAGGGTTCTTCCATCGGCTCCTACCAACTGTCATTTTAGATTAAATCCATTTTATTTAACGCCCCCCCCACGTGGCTCGTATGTGACACAAGGCCAGATTAAATCCATAAGGCAAAAAGCCATCTCTTCGAAGGACATGTTATGGATTTACTGTTTCTGATGCAGGTAACCGGTAACACAATTTAACCTGTCGCACGTTACACGGAGAGAGATAGTCCAGTAAAACCATTGTACAAAGAAACGCCAGAAATCATCAAAGTTAAGCAACGTCGAGCCTGGTCAATACCTTGATGAGCGACCGCTTGGGAATAGCATGTGCTGTAGGCGTGGATGTGCGGATGGTGTAATGGCTCGGAATTGGAACTTGGGGAACCGAGTTCCAATTCCAGTCGGCTTTGTCATATTCACTTACGCGCAAATACTCTTGGGAAAGGTATAAATCCATCTTTTCTCCCCCAGCTATGGGTTAATTAGTAGGACTTGTATCAGTAAATCCTTATTATCTCCAAAAATTTCTTATAATCTAAAAATATATGCTTGCTTTAGATAATCTGCAATATTATAGGCCCTGACCAGGCATCATGCTTTCCAACCGCAGTAATATAGCTTCCTTATGCCTTTTCTATAAATACTTTTATGGAAATTGTTTTGATGAATTCTCCTCTATGATACCTAGACTTTATGAATTTAAACGTACTGCTAGATTGGCGGTGCGGTCTCATCATTTTACAGTTAAAGTAGCTAGATGCAATCGTAAATTCTATGCTAATAATTTCTTCTATCGCACTTCTCGCTTGTGGGACTCTCATCCAGCTTCATGCTTCCCAATCAACTTTGGTCTTCAAAAATTTAAATGAAATTGTCAATTGTTATCTTCTGTCTTCTTAATTTTTGTTCTTTTATTCTTTTCCGTCCTTAATGGTGTTTTATTTTTCTCATATTCTGTAAGATTCAGTAGCCCTTTGCGTCTTAGTGGCTTTATTGGCTTACTTGGGAAGAAATGATTAAAAAGAAAAAAAAAGAAAAAAAAAGGTTATGCCGTTTAAAAGAAATCAATCAATTAACTTCTGTAAGTCATGTGCGTGTTAAATTCTCTAAGTCTTCTTTCCTCATTAGTTAGCAGCAATTTTCTTGTAGATCCTTTTCTTATTATAACTAAGAGAAGAATTTAGAAATCATGAAAATCATTTTTTATTCTTTTTTTATTCGTTTAGAAAATAAATCTTCTCCAAAATCATCAAGAATTTTCAAATGTCACTTTTTGGTAGTTCCTATTTTCTGCTAAACTTCTTCATTGACCACATACTTCTCTATTAAATCGTCCGGAAATAATGTTATAATAATACTTGATTGATTCATTTTTTATGGCTCATCAACCCATTGCAGGTTATTTAAAGACAGAAACTATTTTTATATTGTAAGAATTTTATTTTGTTTGAAATAATAATGTTTTTAGTAATATTAGCTGGGGGAAGAGTTGAAGTGGTGGATTCATGCCTTTCCCAAGGTTATTTGTGCGTAAGGGATTATAATGAACCCAAAGGGAACTGGAACTCGGCTCTCTGATTAATAATTCTGAGCCATTATCCACTACACTACCCGAACATCCAACCTCACGGCACCTGGTACTCCCAAAAGGTCACCCATCTTGGTAGTGAAAAGGTTTGACGTTGCTTAACTTCGGTGATCGTACGAGAACTGGTCTTTCAAAGTGATGTGACCCGAAGCCGGAATGATTTTAGAATCAAGTTTTATTCGTGAATTAATTTATTAATGTGTTAAACCTGTTGGATTTCGTGCCAAATATCAATAGTGTTGGAATCAGTCAGAATAGAAAGCCTGAACGTCTACACATTTCTGCCATCGAGTTACAAGTTTATTTATGACTAAATAAAAAAATCTAAAGGTTTGGGCGTCAAGAGATATTTGCAATTTCTGCAACAACTTTGCTACGAAACCTCTTTTGGCATAAAAAATTGCCAAGAAAAAATTCCAAGTTCGTGAGCTTCTTCAACATGTGACCGAACATTGTCAGGAAGCAGAATTGGACCTCGTCGATTAACCAGGGCAGGCCTCAGTTTGCTTATTGTGAATTCCATCCAGTAAACTTCGGCAGTGATACGCTGGTTAGATTCCAGAAAAAAATGTATATCACCAATGGTGGATCACCAGACAGTTACCATAGTCTCTTCTTGTCGCAATGTTGCTATTGGTAAAGTGTTTGAGTCCTTCGTCATTGAGCCGATCGTTTACGATTGTCATAAACGATACATATTGTTATGGTCCGGTTCCTTGTACCACGGTGATAGTCAAAAGGTAGAACCAATAAAGAAGAACTCGAACACGTATATGGAATAACACAGATATATTATAAACAGGAATATATACAGAGAAGTAGAAAGTGTTAGTACAAACAATCAGGTTTAGTAGTAATTGTCTGAACGCGACTCTGTTTCGAACTGCCTCTGACTCGACTGGACTGACTCGCTCTGACTGACTGACTCCTGACGGACTTCACTCCAGACTTCAGACTGAACGCCCTGCTTCCTCTTGAGGCGCAGTATTTATTACGTATGGAATAGTCCATTATGTTATTATGGGTAAGGTCCCATAACACATATCTTATCACAAGTCACTCGACGTCGTCTACAGTACTCGGGACATAGTTTGATCTATCCAGTGCCTCCACGATGCCTGAAACCGACACGACTCAGAAGGTCAAGTCGGGAATAGATCAGATTCGGGAATTGATTGGGCATTGGTCGTATAGTAGTTAGCGTGATGATTTTGGCTGGAGTTGCTGGGTTGACTTCTTTTTACCTCCTCTTCAGTCTTTTTCCTCTCTTCGAACGTGAAACAACCAAAATGAATTGCTCCTCGCCAGGATGGACGGCTTCTGTTTCGCAGATGTAAGGGTTGATTCCGTCTTGAATGAGACAAGACTTCTGTTGGTCTTTGAATTTGCGTTTTGGGATTTGTCAGTTATCTCCTGTTAATCCCCCTCTCCAAGTTCTCCACTGCCTTAACTGGGTATTGAACTCACAATCTTTGGGTCCTGTCACTGGATCTAACGTCTTTATCCACTGTGCCATGTGTTCTGAAAAAGTGATACTCACTGGGCGAGAGATCAGGAGAATATGGTGGATGTGGTCTCGTATTCCAAGTTTGTGAGCTTCTGCAATGTCATCCTGACAATATGTGGCCGAACATTATCATGAAGCCGTGTGGGAATAAAAAAGCGATTATCTCTCTTTGGTCGAGATAAGTCCCGTGGGTCACATGACGGTCGCTTAGTGACGCCACTCCATACAGTGACGAAAGTGGCAGTCAATTTAATTCGGTTTTCAGTAATCAATCGAGCAGTCGTTTGTATGGCTCGGGACTCTAGGCTCGGGATGAGGCTAAATCTGCCTCTTCCAGCAAGTCAATAGTACCTTTTCCCTTTGGGAATATATCTTCCACAGATATACAAAGTAACTATCTCCAGTTAGCAGTCCTCAATTTGGGAAAATCCAAGATTCACCGTTTCCTGGTCTCGGAATATGTACTTGCTTAGGACATAGTAGATGAATCCGGTCCGTTCGAATCTGGAGTGACTTCTCCAGAAACACAGAAGAATCTCCATATTATATGTAAGATGCCTGAAAAAGTGGTACTCACTGGGCGAGAGATCAGAAGAATATGGTGAATGTGGTAGAGTCTCGTATTCCAACTTTGTCATCCTGGCAATATGTGGCCGAACATTGTCATGAAGCAGAATGGGCCCCATTTTGCTTAACTGAATGTTCATTTTATTCAGTTGTTGTCAGTAAACTTCGACCACCAGCCAATCACCATAATCTTCTGTTGGTGTAATTTCGGTTTTGAAAAATGTCTGGGTCTTTCGTCATCATAGGTGGTCCTTCTCCCGCCATGCATCTCTCCTTCTGGGTTCTTCTGGGAGGATTGGTAGAGGAGGAGAAGGTTTTTTTTTTCTCCCCGTCAGAGTAGATGCTGCGGTTGTAGTATCTGCTTCGTGACGGAAGCTTTCTTACCTCCCTTGCGTTCCCGTTGCGTAACATCTATTACATAGAGGTGGTAAGACCGACTATGACTAGATTAGACAAACTCTGACCAGTTTAGACAAGCTATGACCAGCTAAGACCAGTTTAGAAAGCTTTGACCAGCTATGACCAGCTTAGACCAGTTTAGACCAGCGGTCCGAGTGTTTCCACTCGGGTCCCCACGTTAAAAAACAACCTTGTGTCACAACCTGACTCAGTTGGGGGTCAAGGTAAATCCAGGGTCCTTCGTCATCATTAAGGCAGTTGTTTACTATTGCCAGAAAGGATTCATTTTTCATCCCAAGTCCCTATTCAATCAAGAATCGGATCATTCCAATTTCACAGATACAGCATCAAACACACTTCAAAACTCTTTGACTTTCACTGACTTTATGTAGAACCCATTTATCGAGTTTAATTCACCTTGCCAATTTTCTTGAGATGGTCCGATATCGTTGAAATGCTAACAACCATTATCTGGGACATTTCTTTGAAATTTTTATATTGGGTTGTGTTCGACTCGTGTCTTTCAAATGCTGATTATCAATTGCAGATGGACGTCCCCTACTACCTCGATTTTCAAGACTCGTATCCTTACTGCGGAACTCCCGAAACTAGCGCCGTACTGTCTGATCACATGTTGCTCCTTCGCACTTTTATCTTCTGTTAATGTTGGCAGCGGTTTGAGAATCATTATGGCCACAGTTATAAACGCGTCTTTTTTTTTCATGTTTTAAGTTAGGCATCTCAGTCGTTTCAAGACTCTTTATCATCTCAGAGGATATTGTCTAACACCTATTAACATATAAAAATTCTATGATATGTATTTTTTTCAATCGGTTATAATTTTCTAGATTTCGTAGATAATACAAAAATGCTATGAGAAAATTATATATTTTTCTCGCTTAATTACACGCATAAAAAAAACAAAATCTAGCCAAGAAATAGCTGTAATTTTAAGCTCTGTTATTACTGATGATTTCGTGAAATTGGTGCTGCCGGGTGTAAGAAGTTTATATACTTGAAGACAAGAACGAGTCTAACAGAAATACGAAATATATTGTTTAGTTTGATCCAAAATTGTTTGATAAAATTTTTGATATAATAATAATAATAAAATTTTTAAATTCAGACTAATGTCTTCATCTTTATTGTTGTTATCATAATGTTTTTGATCCCTGTTGTACTCGGCCTTCAAATGCCTATCGATCTGTTTAACCTTTAGAGGATTTCGAATTTCAGCCTTTATTTAATCTACGAGAGCAGATTGTTCTCGTTCTGATGTCCAAATCTCGCGATATCTCGTTTTGTTTTTTGTTTTTTTTAAATACTGCTCAGTAATTGCTCGCTCTGTTTACAAGTACGTACTACTCGGCCGAGTAAGTAACTAAAGTATAGATCAGTCAAAATATCTATTTGAGTTTTACTAAAAATATTCCGTCAATTAAGCTTTAGAATTTCAACAATTCTTTCGTTTGACGCTTGCCCTCCATATATGAATGGCAAAGTAACCACAAAGGATCTTAAAGTATAGCTTTTGAACAACCAGATGTTATTTTCTATGGAATCACCCTGCTTGCTGATTTACAATGGCCCTAATATTCCTATCAATTGTAAAATCAAGGAAGACCTGCTCAATGGGGTTTCAAGTTTGACATTACATAGGGTATTTTAACCTTTGCTTTTATCCTTATTAATTTTGCCTTTTCTCTATACCCCTGTTGTATCTTTGCATAACAATGGAACTCATTACACTACTCACATTCAGGTTGGCCGCCATTTTGTGATGAAATGTCGCCTGCTCATGTCTTATAGGTTATATGGTTGCCATCCTTTTATACTCATACGCTTAGGTCAATAAATATCAACCAATGATCCTAACATACATACACATATTGGTATAAACAAAAACGGGCGAAGAACAGCAGAAGATGAGGGTTCTGGAAGACAGAAGATGGCGATTGACGCTGCATTCAAACTTTTGAAGATCGTAGGTGGCATGGAAGAAAGAAATCGGAAGTGAATCCCACAGGTGAAAAGTCTGAGAAAAGAAATTATTAGAATAGAACAGATTAGAATAGGTTGTATCTAACTAGTTCAACAGTAAAACAGTGAGACCTAACTGCCAATCTAGTAGTACGCTTAAATTCATGCAGTTGAAGCACCTAGATGGAAAGCTCATCAGAACAATTACCAAATATTTGTAGAAAAGACAGAGGGGATTCACGTCACGTCGGTGAGAAAATGACTGAATTCAAGTTGCCAGACAACGACCAATTAAATAACAGATACTTCTTTGAATTTACGTCCTGGTTAAGACGATAAACTACATCCCCGTCCTGGGTATGACGATAAACTACATCGGCGTCCTGGGTAAGGACGATAAACTACATCCGCGTCCTGGATAAGACAATAAGCTACATCCAACAGCAAGGCCTTTGATCAGGACGTTTTGAGGAGCATGGAACCACCTCTTAATTGTTGGTGTTTCCAGGTCCAACCTAACCCGAGGTGGTATCACCTGTTAGGGTCCCAGCTATGGGCAGATAGTTAACCCCTAAACTGGGGTCAAAACACTATGAAGGTGTAAAAATAGGTTTTAATACCAGAAATACTTTGTAAAAAAATATTACCAGAAATACATTTGTGGAAAAAATATTACCAGCTATAAATTTTTGA